GATCTAGGTTTGAGTATTTCGTACTAACAAAGAAGTAGCTGACATGTAGAAGTTACTCAAGTGTGCCACGTGTGTTTGGAGGCTGGCAGTTAATTTGAACTGCGCAAGTTAAAGCTATTATGATGACACGACAATTATCCAAAAGAAAATAAAGCAGCACGTCCCTGTACTTATAAGTCTCAGCCTTTTAGCTACAAAAATACCAATTTTGAAGCAGTAATACTTCAACAAAGCAAGAATTCCTGAGATTTTAAGTGGTTCTAGTGCAACAGTTTCAAAAACCAAATGATGAAGCAATCCTGTAAGAAGAATGGGATTAATTAAGAATAAGATAGGAAATCGAAGTTTTCTGTTAGAGTTGTCTTAGGTTTCTTAGTCTTTATCATAAAGATTTCTAAGAAACTGGAAGGGTCAGTAAGTATGCGCGGATTCATTTCTAATTTGGTGCGGAAATTTTTACGAGTGGAAATGTCTTGTCCTGGAGGAAGTCCAACAGCTTTGGCTCCATGCCACTGCGTCATACGGAGATCAGGGGGCACACGACCGACCTCCGTGAATGTGTGCTAAACTTCTGTGCCATATGTTTAAATGATGTGTTATTAATAATGTGCTGTTTATTAATGCTCTACCTCTTTGCCTGTCAAATCTTTTCTTCTCTGGCCCTCTTTCCGTCGAAATGTTGGCAGAAATGTGATAACGTTTTCATCATTAACACACACCCCTTGACGTATTTACTTTTGCAACTTTGCTCACTTCCGAGAAATATAATTTTTTTTAAAATCTATATGCTACGTCACTCCTGATTTAGTGTAAAAATTCTTTCGCAGCGGAACCAAAATCACAATGATGGGGTCAGCTAGCAACTCACAAAAATGCTGACTTTAATCCGAATTGAGTGGTTTTGACCTAGCTTATTTTTAGAAAACTGGATTTTTTGATATCTCTTATTTCTCCAGAATTACATCTTGTTTCTACCTGTCCTATGCTGATCTTTGCAGTGGTCGCCGAGATATTTGCTGAAATGTGATATTAGAGCTAATTCTCATCATTGCTTTCTTTGTTCAGAATAACTCATCGGGATGCTTCACTGAAAGATTTCACTCATGTTAAAAACATACGCGGTTGAATCTACATGTAAAAGAAGTTCCTCGTCAGCAACAGAATCAGTCCTGAAAAAAAGTGACAAAAGTAGTAATCAAGGATGTCAGCTCCAATGTCGTATTTCAGCATACATCTTAACCAGGGCCCCAAAAATTAACATAGGCACCGACAGATGCGTAGCTATAGTTCTGAAAAAAATAGTGATGTCAAAAGATCCGCAGTTTTCCAAAAATGAACTAGGGGGGCAACGCCCACTTTGAACGTGAGTCACCATTCTTATAGGTTGCTAGCCGATCAGATCACTGTGATTTTAGTTCCGGTGCTAAAGAATTTTTACGCCAAACATCAGATGACATTTTCAGTCAGAAGATGTCTTTTAAATAGAATTCTTGAAAAACGACGACCTCATATATTCAGAAAAAAACTTCCTTTGAGAGTCTTTTTACTGATAAGCTGCTGCAGAAAACACACCACTGTCATCGTAGACTGCTGCAATTAAGGATACTTGTCGGTGGTGTCGAGCCACGATTAGAGACTTTACACTTCCACTGCGACAGATACTATCGCGCCGTGGTACAACCTTTGCGCTCGAGTTCTGGAAACTTACAAATGAGTCATGACGGTTAAAAGTCGAATTAATAGTAGGAGTAGGAACAGAGAGAGGTCAGTGAGAAGAACGATACAGCAATAAAAGTCGGTCAAAAACAGAGAATACACATTACAGACATAAAAAATGTTTATTGCCTTCATTTCTTTTTATACGTCCAAGAAGTTTCGCGGCAAGACCGAAATTACGGTAGTGCGGCGGGCTCGGCGACCTGTAAAGATGCCGGCTTGAGTTCAGATCAAGAAGTGTTTACCTGGCTGTTATCGAGAGTTTTGCAGTGATTTTGACACATTTCTTTTCGGCACATTAGTGGTTGCTAAATTTCTATGATTTGTGAGGCCGTGGTCGGGATATAAACTTAAATGTGAAGTAATAGCTGATTTTGTCTGTTACTACCTGTATTACTTGTGGAAATAACTTTCTGTTGTGCAGAAACTTTACTTTTTTTTAATTTTTTTAGATTCTCTCAAATATGCCCATAAGTTTTGTGAAAGGTTTTACTAGGCTCAGGACCCATGTGGGTTTTGTATTATACGAGTTAGAAGAAGAGGTAGACTTTTTGCTGTGAATGACCTTTCTACCACCTAAAATTTAATTTGCTATAAGTATTTTTAATGATTTTAGTAAAACTATGTTTATAGTATTCTCCTGTAGGGTAAGCTGCATAGGTTTTCTAGAAATTTATTATGCACAAAAAAATATGGAGTACTTTGGGAGAAAGTCTCTTTGAATGATGTGGTGCATTGTGGAGCACCACGACGACTCTATTACTGCCACACGTCGTGCTCAGCAAGCAGCGTGAACCAGATGCTGTAGAACTTGAAATTAATATCTCGATGGTAGTCGCCGCCGTCGGCCGCCGTCGTTACGTTGACCGGATATGATGGCTTCCTGAGCTCTATCCAGCAAGCCTTAGGACGTCAGGCAGTGAAGAACGACAAGACGTTTCTCACGCGAAGTAAAAGCTGGCGGTGGGACTTCCTTACAGAACGGATTTTGTTAGTTTTGGGGAACAATCCAATCCCGACGGTTCCCTTTACCGCACCAAACCCAGGCTTTATTGATATAAACCACGATCTTGCCTTTCCTTTTGCACTGCTTAATCAGTTCAATATAGCGAGTCCGTAAACGACGAAAATGCTCCGGTTCCATCAAAACGGGATCTTGCTGGGCGAGACCGTATCCATACAAGAAATTGTTTTCTTTAATTCTTGTAATTTTTCGTTGTAGTTTTTTAAGTGTAATTTTTGTAGACGCGTTCATTTCCAATTTGGTGTGAAAATATTTTTCGCGTAGGGACCAGGATTATGGTAATATGACCGATTGGAAATCGGGGAAAGTGTTGATCTAGGTTCATATGAGGACGTTTTTACCGGCCTTGCTTTGGGAGATTCGTCGTGATTTTGGTGACATTCTGTTTGTCTAAATTCTGGCAAGAAGCTGCTTGCTGAATTTAGTTGAAATTTGATTCCCTCGCTTAGTTATTAACCAGGATGTGCTA